GGGACTCGATCCCGGGACTCCAGGATCATGACCTGAGCCGAAGGCAGTCGCTTAACCAACTGAGCCACCCAGGCGCCCAATGATTTAATCTTATAGTATAGATCCTGGCATTTAAATGTTGCTTAGTAATTATCTGTTGACTCAAATCGGATTCAACAACACCATTTGGGCAATTGATGAAGAAAGGACAGAAACACTGCTATGATATTATCTGTAACTGAGCTGGTTTCAGGATAAACATTGTATCCATTCTGGGCTGAATCCGAGGAGAATTAATTACTGGACTGACAGAAGGATGTCTATGTAAGAAAATTATGTTAAAGTGAGAGTTCAGTATATTAACATACCTCTGGTTTTATGTTTGATATCAGATTCAGCTTCGTTTCCCTCCTTTCCCTCATCATTAATGGAAATGGCATCCAATTCATGGCAGATGGAGCTACAAATAATAGAATAAGAGAATTTTTTTTTTTTTTTTTTTTTACTTTTTCACTCTATACTCAATATGAGGCTCGAACTCATGACCCCAAAATCAAGAATCACATACTCTACCAACTGAGCCAGCTAGGTGCCCCAGAATAAGAGAATTTTAATTTTTTTTTTTTTTTAAGTAAGCTCCATGCCCAGTGTGGGGCCCAACTCAGGGCCTAAACTCATTACCCAGTGATCAAGACGTGAGCTGAGATCAAGAGTTGGACGCTTAACCAACTGAGCCACACGGCACCCCAGAATAAGAATTGTAAAGTTGGTTCTTGGTCAATATTACCCAGTGTATGATAGCACAAGAATCCCACAAGATTTTCTATGAAAAAATTGTGTGACCACCTAAATTTGGGATATTCTAAAAATCACAATCTCTTCTTGGAGTTTTCCATGCATAACAGCATAATAAAAACTGGGAAATCTTGCAGTAAAGAACATTTTATCTGTTTAAGTTGTTATTTCCCAAACTTACTTGAATTTACAATCTTTTTATTAGAGAACAGCAGCCTGTGTTATGTGGAACTCACTAGGAAATGTTGCTCTACTACAACAGAGCAGCTGCCTCTCTGAAAGGGATCTAATTCAAACTACTTCAAATTCCAAGTAACAATCACAAAGAAAAATGGAATGATCAATGATCTGGAACATACCTTATGGTTGGAACAGTAAATGGATCAAACTGGTCCACTTTCTGTAAATCAATAGGCACAGAAATACGACCTGTAAGAACCAAAAGTTATAAACTGATGATTGTAAAATATAATCCTATGTGTTATTTTGGCTAAATTTTAATCTAAGGCTTGGAAAAAAGGGTTAGACTGGGGTGCCTGGGTGGCTCAGTCATTAAGCATCTGCCTTCTGCTCAGGTCATGGTCCCAGGGTCCTGGGATTGAGCCCCGCATCGGGCTCCCTGCTCGGCGGGAAGCCTGCTTCTCCCTCTCCCACTCCCCCTGCTTGTGTTCCCTCTCTCGCTGTGTCTCACTCTGTCAAATAAATAAAAAAAATCTTAAAAAAAAAAAAAGGGTTAGACTTATCTGTTAAAAACAATAGCTAGAAATTACTTCCACATTAGGTGTGCTTTTAATTTCTCTTAAAAAACCGAAAAAAATAGGGGCACCTGGGTGGCTCAGTTGGCTAAGGGTCTGCCTTCAGCTCAGGCCATGATCCCAGGGTCCTGGGAGGGAGCCCCACATTGGGCTCCCTGCTCAGCGGGGAGTCTGCTTCTCCTCCCTCTGCTTGTGCTATCTCTCTCTCTGACAAATAAATAAGTAAAATCTTAAAAAGAAGACAAATTAAAAAAAACAACCAAAAAAATAGGTATGAAAGAATGTTGGGCTATTATCTAGTGCTCTTATCTCTACTTTTATTTCTATCTTCTTCTTCTTAATATCCTTTTATATGTAAGTACAGAATGATATCAAATTTAGTGAGTACTGAAAATGAAATAACATAGATATAGTTCATTTCATTAACTTGGTTTATTTGCTGAGATTAGAACAGACACCTATATGTTGGCCATCTTTTTAAAAGATTTTATTTATTTATGTGACAGAGAGAGAGAGAGAGAGAGAGAGAGCACAAGCAGGGGGAGCAGCAGGCAGAGGGAGAGGGAGAAGGAGGTTTCCCTCTGAGCAGGGAGCCCGATGCGGGGCTCGATCCCAGGACCCTGGGATCATGACCTGAGCCGAAGGCAGACGCTTAACAACTGAGCCACCCAGGCGTGTTGGGCATCTTTAGAAAGCATTTTGGAAATAAAATAGATAGCATTATACTACCCTTTCACAATATCCACACCTGGGATACCTCATAAAATTCATTACATCTCAGAAATGAGGTAATGAATCCAAAGGATGCCAGGTAAATAACAAGTAGAATAATTAAGAGAATTGGGAGTAGCTGTTTGAAGACAGAGTAAAAAGACTGCAGCTGCTTAATGGGAAAAAGGATATAATCAAAATGCATATACTTATGAACATATTTATTTACCCAAACCCTGAATTTTAGAATAAGGGCATACCCACTATAGCTTTAGAGTCAGGTTTAAAAAAATATTAAATATATAATAAGCATTGGGTGCTATATGGAACTGATAAATCACTGAACTCTACCTCTGAAACTAATACACTATATGTTAATTAATTGAATTTAAATAAACTAAAAAAAAAAAAGAAATATTAAGCTTATTACCCAAAGAAGCTGAAAACACATAGTTGATAGGTTCGGAAAGAGGCAATTCAAATATAGGGACTAGAGAATCACTACAGATTATTAAAGGAAACTAGGCAACTTAGGAGAACTGAATGTGTGACAGACACTTTTCTAAGCACTTTACATTTTATTATTATTTTTTCATTATTTTTTTAAGGATTTATTCATTTGAGAGAGAGAGCACAAGCAGGGGAAGAGGCAGAGGGAGAGGGAGAAGAAGACTCCCTGCTGAGCCGGAAGCCCGACATGGGGCTCGATCCCAGGATACGGAGAACACGACTCAAGCCGAAGGCAGATGCCCAACCATCTGAGCCACCCAGGCACCCCAGCACTATACATTTTAGATTTTCACAATAACCCACTGAGGTAGGTACTATATTATCTCCATTTACAGATGAGAAAACCGAGGCACAGAGTAATTAGCCTAACATCCCACAGCAAGTGGCAGAGTTAGATTATTAATGCTAAAAAGGACAACTATATACAACTGTATATGTCTCCTGGTTGGATGAAGCAAAGTTTATGTCAATACAGCAACTGTTATATTTATTTTAAAGTCAGTTTCAGTCCATCAAAACATATCTAAGAGAAATGTGAAGGAGGAAAGCTAAAACTATGGAAAAAGAACTGAGTGAGGAGACATAGTGGGAAAAGCACAGAACTTTGAGGGGTTTTTTTGTTCTTAGATTTTATTCATTTATTTGTCAGAGAGAGAGGGAAAGCACAAGCAGGGGGAGCAGCAGACAGGGAGAAGCAGGATCCCCGCTAAGCAAGGAGCCCAATGTGGGACTCGATCCCAGGACCCTGGGATCATGACCTGAGGCGAAGGCAGATGCTTAACCAACTGAGCCACCCAGGCGTCCCAGAACTTTTGAGTTTTAAGAACTGAATTCTGTTCTTAGCTCTGACACAATTTGTTTTAAGACTGTGAACAAGTCACATTAACCTCTTGGACCACTGTTTTCTCATCTGTACAAGGAGAGCTGTTGTCCTGTGATTTCTAAGTGCCTCTATAGTTCCAACACTAAACCTCAGAAACTCAGAGGAAAATTATTTGTGTAGTGGACACTCATTTGGTAGCACTAATTGACAATTAAAAAATAACTTAGGTATTAGCTGATAGTCTTTCAACCTTCAATATCTCAGACATCATACATATTCACACCCAGTGACATGTTTACTAAAATAAAAAATAACTCATTTTTCTTCTAGTTTTCTTTACTTTCCATACATTGTACCTGTTTTAGGATGAACACTAAAAGGGCTCTTCAGTAAATGATTGATTCCTTTGCTAACATTGATATCCAGCCGTGGAAAACAGTACTGGAGCATGATCTCCCATTCAAGCAAGGGTCCACATTTGTCATTTTTAGTATTATCCTAAAAGCAGATGCAAGTCTAGCATGAGGATCAGTAGAAACTTTTGAGGATTTCTTTAAGAGGTTAAAAAATGGCTTTCAATGATCTTTAACTTACTAAGCAAAACAATTAGAATTTAATTAAGAATTACATTATTAAATTTATAATAGAGATTTCAATGGGATATACCTGCCAGCTGATGGCTTTCTTCAAATATTCCCAACGCTGAAGTGAATTGTGATACTTCTGGAAGTTTTGCTGAAGTTTCTCATGAATTGGTGATGAATCATTAAGGAACACACTCATTTAGAGCGCACTGATGAACAACTTATTTTCAGTATGTATTACCACAAGGATATCAAAAGTTTCTAGAAAGTAATTATCGTTTTCTAAAAAGCAAATATGAATTAAACACATATCCTTAAGAAATTCCCCTGTAAAAATATATACTGATATGACACAAAGAATGCCAAAATAACTATATGGCTTAATATAAAACCTTTCCCTGGTCTGTACATATTTTGACTAAATGATCCAGCATTCTTTAAGTATCCATTAATTCTATGAAGATCAACTTCCAAAATGAGGAAATTTATTTCCAAAAAGGTCTCATTTCTTTTTTTAAGATTTTATTTATTTGACAGAAAGACAGCCAGAGAGGGAACACAAGCAGGGGGAGCAGGAGAGGGAGAAGCAGGCTTCCCATGGAGCAGGGAGCCCGACACGGGGCTCGATCCCAGGACCCCGGGATCATGACCTGAGCTGAAGGCACTCAATGACTGAGCCACCCAGGCACCCCCAAAAAGGTCTCATTTCTTATTGTATTCTAGATAAGACATAATAAAATGCAGAAAAACAGGAGATATTTTGTGTAAAAAGATTAAACTTATAAAAGTATATAAGAATATGTAGGCAGAACACATTTATAATATCATAGATCAATACGTGTAGCTCATATAGAAATGGCCTTGGGAAAGGATATTTTCAGGAACAAGGGCTAAAATCTTATCCCAGCTTTCTTTATTTTCAAGAATATCTTGATCAACTAAGGCATATTCTTCAAAGTATTTTTTTATTATGTTTATAGATTTGCTGTAGAAATAACAATAGCACAGTCCTAATACTATTAGTAACACATACACCGCATAGTTTTTCTTGCCATTTGGGAGGCTAGTGCTTGCTTCTACTGAAAAAAAATTTTTTTAATGAGCATATATTAGTCTAATAAGAAGACAAACAGAATTAACTAACAAACAGAAATTAGCTATGTAAAATGGGAATAATGCAACTTCAAAGGGTTATGAGAGTTAACTAAGACATTCTAAGGGGGAAGAACCTAGTATAGTACCTGGCTTAGAATAGATATTCAAGAAATGTTTACTTCTTAAACTCTACAACTTAGCAGGTTAATGGCATCATAAATATGTAACAAGGGTAGAAAGCAACCAGGCCAGGACAACATAATAATACATCAGTAGTAGTGTGGGATAGAGTCTACAGTTCCTCCTCTGAATTACTTGCTTTAACATCTCAACAATTATGTAGTGCTTAGCAGTTTGCAAACAGATTTCACATCTATTGTTTCATTTTATCTTTGCCACAACTCTGAGAGAGATGGAGCAGATGTTGTTTTCTGCATCATACATTTAAGGAAATAGAGGCTCTACTATTTTATCACGGTCTTAGGAAGCTGCAGAATAGAGATTCTTACTCATTGCAATGCTCTTTTCACCTAGAGAAGTAGTGAATTTAGTGGAAAGAGTATGGGTTTTGAATTTAGGCAGATTAGGACACGAATCTTAAAAATTTAACAATTACTTGTGTGGTACCAAAGAAATTACACAATCTTTCTAAATCCTACTTCAACTATAAATGGAGATACCATCATGTCCCTCATGAAGTTATTGTTAAGACCAATAAGAACATTTGTAAAGCACCTATCATGAATGCTGCAGCATAAAATAGCCATTCAATTAACTTTAGCATTATTATCTGTAAAATGCTACCCCAATAGAGAAAATTGGTAACAATGTAATTCTAAAAGCACAAGTAGGTAAATCAGATACAACTTAAACTGCATGGAGTCTTTTCCAACAGACCTGACAAAAGGGTGAATTTTTTCACTTAGGTGGACTTTCTTTTTAACGTCTTGACCACCCTGAAAAAGAAACCATCAAAAAAGAACTTCATGTATATGACACAAATGAAATGATTTAAATTTTTTAATGTGTTCTAAAGATATTGATTAAATTCTGTCAAAATATAGAAGTTTAGATGTTATTTTATATAGTCTCAATACCTGTAACTTTCTGGGTTAACTTTGCTTGACATAACTGAACTGGAAAAGTAATTTTCCTTTTGCTACAAAGGAGGATACTTACAGTAAAATATGAAAGATCTTAAAAAATGTAGCTACTATGATTATTTGATCTGCTGGTAAGATCATCTACTCTGGAATGTGGATGCTATAAAAGATAGTTTCATTTTTTTCACTAAACATTTCAGGCTTGGTAACATCTAGCAAACAAAGAAGTATAAAGTATTATTGAGATCTTACCTTTACAAGACTCAAATACTCAACTATCCCGGAACGTACTGCAGAGGACAATTTTCTAACCGATTCATCACAGACCCAACAATGAACACCTCTCCTTCCAGAATAGATCCAGAGACGATGCTTAAATCCAAAGTCCTCTGAGGAGGGGAGAAATAATAGGTTTTAAAATCTATAAATAAATTTACAAACTCCTGGTTCTTGCTTACTTCCTTGGCTTCATTTTTACCTCTTATCCACATGTACTCGCCTTAGCTATACTAAATTATGTGTGGTTTCCTGTGTCTCCCATGGTCTTGCCTTCATTGCCTATACCTATCCTATTCTCTCTGCCAAGAATTTCTTGACGCCCCAGCATTTCCATTTCTCTTCCTGACCAATTGCCGTTTATCATTTAAGGCCCCATCTAGGGATATTAAAAAAGTTAATAAATTTAAAGTGTTTAGAACAGTGCCTAGTACATAATAAGCACCTTAAGAGTTAGCTATTTTTTTCTTTTTTTCTTAAGAGTTAGCTCTCGGGGCGCCTGCATGGCTCAATTGGTTAAGTGTCTGCCTTGGGCTCCAGCCATGATCCCAGGGTCCTGGAATGGAGCCCCACATCAGGCTCTCTGCTCAGTGGGAAGCCTGCTTCTCTGTCCTCCGTTTGCCGCTCCCCCTGCTTGTGCTCTATCTCTCTGCCAAATAAATAAATAAAATTTTTATTTATTTTTAAAAAAATGTTTAAAGATTTTATTTATTTATTTGACAGAGAGAGACACAGCGAGAGGGAACACAAGCAGGGGGAGTGGGAGAGGGAGAAGCAGGCTTCCCGCTGAGCAGGGAGCCCGATGTGGGGCTCAATCCCAGGACCCTGGGATCATGATCTGAGCCGAAGGCAGACGCTTAACAACTGAGCCACCCAGGTGCCCCAATAAATAAAATCTTAAAAAAAAAAAAAAGTTAGCTCTTTTTAGTATATGTGCTGCTGAAGCAAGGACAAAAGTTAGCTTTTTTTTTTTTGAGAGAGAGAGAGAGAGTGAGCGAGCATGCGTGCACAGGGGCGGGGAGGGGCAGAGGGAGAGAGAGAATCTGAAGCAGGCTCCTTGCCCAGCCTGGAGCCCAATGTGGGGTTATATCCCAGGACTCAGATCATGACCTGAGCTGAAATCAAGAGCTGGAGGCTTAACCAACTGAGGTACCCAGGCACCCTGAGAGTTAGCTATTTTTAATATCATTATCATCCTTATCATCACCTTTTCTGATCCAATCTCTTTCCATTCCTGTAGGCACTCCTGCTGTTCTCTATCCCCATGGCAACCTGTGCATATTACTAAACTAAACGTAATCCTCAATTTTATTTGTTTCCTTCTTAGACTGTATAACCTACTTGAGGCAATCATTATCTTTCATATTTCCCTCACCTAGGACAGTTTGTAGCACACAGAACTGCTGACTGATTTGGGAAAAAATTCACTGGTTTGATCAACAGCTTTATTAGAGTTTCAACTACAACTTTATTCTTTTTTTTTTTTTTT